AGGATAAGTGTACGGTAAGAAGCTCAAAATTCACAACTGAGGCACAGATCTACAGCTCAGGCTTAAGATACAGACAGAGCCACAACTTAGTGATAAATAGTTGATTGAAAATAAGAACTGGCCAAGGCCTGTATCTGTGAGAAACAGTTACTGCCAACGAACAGTTGTAAGCCTTGTAAGCCAAAGAAGTGAGGAGAGATGAGGAGTCCCAATTTCTCCTCTATTTGATAAGCTTAGGAATGTAACTTAACACTGAAAATTAATGAGATCTACTTAGTAAAGAATCCTCCTGCAATGTGGGAGACCTGGGTTCGATCCTTGGGTTGGGAAGATCCCCTGGAGAAGGGAAAGGCTACCCACTCCAGTATTCTAGCCTGTAGAATTCCATGGACTATACAGTCCATGGGGTCACAAAGATTCGGACACGACTGAGCAACTTGCACTTCCCTTCCACACTTAATAAGGTAGGCTACCGACAAGATTAAATGAAATAAAGTAATAAAGTTAAGTAAATCTCATTTAACAACCTAAAAACTAGAGCAAGAAACCAAGAAAAAGTAGTGTCAGAGGGAGCAAGGGCCTGTTTTTCAAGACAGGATCAGTGGTCAAAACAATACTGTAGCAACGCCCGTAGCCTGCAACGTGAGAGAAAAGTACACAACACAAAGCGCTCAGACCCCTCTGGAGTAACTGTGTCATAGATTTGTTTACTGTCAGCTTCAACCTGAGGAAAAAGACTGTTTTGCTTTCTGACATATTCCTTTGGGAATATATACTGGGTGCTTAGTCACCAAAGGCACCCAATAAATATGGGGGAAAAAAAAAAGTCCCTCAGGTTGTTGCAGTTTAGCTGCTAAGTCACGTCTGACTTTGCAGCCCAACAGATGGAGGCCCACCAGGCACCTCTGCCTGCGGGACTTCCCAGGCAAGAACACTGCAGTGGGTTCACATTTCCTCCTCCAGAGGATCTTCCTGACCCAAGGATGAAACCTGCATTGGCAGGCGGATTCTTTACCACTGAGCCACCAGGGAAGCTTCATAAAACTAAATGTACTCAATAAAGTATCCTTTAGCCTGAGATTATGTCCTTCTTTGTCTTTGGGGAGAGGCACTAAAACGTCCTTTCTTTTACAAAAAGATGATTGTTGATAACTATAACTTTTTTTTAACTTGACAAAACAAAAAACTTAGCAATTCTATGTCGGACTCCAATTTTTTTTTAATTTCTCGGTCAGTTCAGTCACTCGGTCATGTCCAACAATTTGTGACCCCATGGACTGCAGCACACCAGACCTCCCTGTCTATCACCAACTCCCAGAGTTTAGTCAAACTCATGTCCATGGAGTCGGTGATGCCATCCAACCATCTCATCCTCCGTCATCCCCTTCTCCTCCCACCCTCAATTTTCCCAGCATCAGGGTCTTTTCCAACTAGTCAGATCTTCGCATCAGGTGGCCAAAGTATTGGAGTTTCAGCTTGAGCATCAGTCCTTCCAATGAATATTCAGGACTGATTTCCTTTAGGATGAACTGGTTGGATCTCCTTGCTGTCCAAGGGACTCTCAAGAGTCTTCTCCAACACCACAGTTCAAAAGNGATTTCTCAGGAGGCAGGTAAGGCGGTCTGGTATTCCCATCTCCTTAAGAATGTTCCACAGTTTGCTGTGATTCACACAGTCAAAGGCTTTGGCATAGTCAATAAAGCAGAAGTAGGTTTTCTGGAACTCTCTTGCTTTTTCGATGATCTAATGGATTAGGGCAATCTGATCTCTGGTTCCTCTGCCTTTTCTAATTCCAGCTTGAACATCTGGAAGTTCACGGTTCACATACTGTAGAAGCCCGGCTTGGAGAATTTTGAGGATTACTTTGCTAGTGTGTGAGACGAGTGCAATCATGCAGTAGTTTGAGCATTCTTTGGCATTGCCTTTCTTTGGGACTGGAATGAAATCCGACGTTTTCCAGTACTGTGGCCATTGCTGAGTTTTCCAAATTTGCTGGCATATTGAATGCAGCACTTTCACAGTATCATCTTCTAGGATTTGAAAAATTTCAGTCAGTGAAGTCCAAAAACATGAGAACCTCTGCTCTAATGCAACTAATTTTCTGGCTGCCTAAATCCCTCAGAATACAGTCAACAAGATGTTAGTCTGCCTATGCTGAACATCTTTAATGTTCAAGAGCTTCCAGTGATGTGGAATCAAATGAAAAAAGATACAGCTGTATATCTGAGGCATGTTTACTTAGCTTCATGAAGAAAAAGCAAGAAACCAAAGCCTGTAGGGAGAAAGCCAACTTGTGAAAGAGTGCCAGTAGAGAAACGAAGGCCAAGAAAACTTTTCAGTAAGTTCAAAGGGAGGCATTCTGTGCTATAATCATAGTCTTCCCTCAACTTAGTGATTATGAAAATCTTCGCAAAAATAACTATAAAGGCTAGAAATGTATAAAACACTCCTGAGGTCAGGGGTGATCATCTTTCATTTCCTTTCACACATCTCAGTACTGCCTGAGACGACTCATTTGCTAACCTATATAAATTTTGAACACTTTTCAGGTTCAATCAGAGGCAAATATCCCATGGTTTTAATACTGCCCAGACCCAAAAATATAACAGAATCTAAAAGAAACATATACTCAAGGATGCAAAAAACAACAGAGATATAAAGTCCATGACAATCAACATGAGAATCAAAAAGGATGAGAAGAGCTTGAAGGCGAGGAGAAGGAAAAAATTAAAAAAGCTAATGTCAACAAGCCCATCTAAAGGAACCAGAGACCTGGACACAGTAGCCTCCAACCTTCCAAGACATAACGAGCTGAAAAGGAGCAAGGTGGGATTTGAAAATGATGCAAAACAGGTTGTTAAAAAAAAAGCACAAGCAAAAGTACAATACTCAGTGCCAGGTAGAGACAGGCATTTCAAATATTTGGAGAAACAAATATTTGCACAAATAAAAAGACAGTCATACAAAGAGGATGTGAGTCCCCACTTCCAACCACATCATCCAAAGCATGTAGGTCCCCATCAAACAACTTTCTTTGCATTTAAGCTCAAGCTACAAGTCTAACCTTATGAAACGCTGAGCCCTCCCAGTAACCCGCACTGGCCGCCTAGCCCAGTCCGAGCAGTGCGAGGCCCAGCAAAGCTCCTTCCCTGAGGACCGTCATCTCTCAGACCCAGCACCCAAGAGTCAGTGCCACAGGAAACACAACGCCATTCGGGGCAGAGGCAGAGGCCAAGCGGCGGGAAGGAACACTAGTTTTGATGTACAGAAAGGTAAGAAACACTCCAGTTCTGGACTTAAGAGTATTCGTAGATAAACCAAATGAAAACAAAACCTATTTCTATTCATCATTAAATGAACAGAAATAAAAGTCTCACCAATTTAAGCCACCAATGACTGAAAGGAGTTTTTTGGTTTTAACTTTCTTTCACCCCTGGTTTTCCATTACATCTCAGCCTCTCATTGTTGCAGCACTAGTGATGAAGTCTCAGTAGCAAAGAACTGTGCTGGACACCAATATATTCTGCTTAGTTGATCTGTATTAGATTCAGTTTATCAGTATTTGCATGCACACATTTAATTTTTGATTACTCATATCTAAATAATGTGTAACGTTCTCTTCTCCTTCCTTCAGAGCCTGCTTTCCCACACCCTCTTCTCGTCTGCATTCTAAGGTACCCCTTTTCTTTCCTTTAGTTCACTTTGCTTCCGAAGCAAAACAGGGTCTGCAGGGAATTGATATAAACGGGGCAGGTTTACGACAAATAACACCCTACCTAGGATATCCTCTATACCATGTGTTGTCAACAGCCAGGTAGCAATTCGTGTCATGCCTCTGAGCCTGAGCAGAACTCATGTGCTGACGCTATGCTCACATTGCTGATGCTAACAACCACCATCATGTTTCCCAGAGGTTCAGGAGTGTTCCCAATCCTACTGAAGAACATGAACAAATCACAAAGCCCTCAAACCCACAACCATCAACAAGCAACTGAGCTCTTGTTCCTACCAGTCCAGGAATTCGAGTCTCAGGTCCTCCTTCATCCCCATGACTTGTTCTACACAAGCTAAAAATTCTGGAAGGCACTTGTAGAAACTGTAGTTTCAGAATTCTATTAGCTCTCCTAAAAGGACTCAATATCAAACAAATTTTCAGCCCAAAACAAATATCTATATTTGGCTGGCATTCTGCCAAATAGCTACAAAAGGCTGCTGTGGTACACTGCCCTGGAGTGAAGCTGGCCAAATCTAAATGAAAAACGATAAAGCTCCAAGAATAAGCTGTCATAAAAAGGTACATGGTTTCTCAGAAGAAATCTGCTGGCGGTTTGAAACGTCAGATTCAAAGGGCTCTTGTCCCTTTATAAAGGTTAAACTAAAGAAAGTAAATCAAAATTGAAATGTTCAAAATTCTGGGGGTTAATAATCCACTTCTAACAAAATGCTTTTAAAAAAAATCTTGTATCGAATAATGCAATATCTTCAATGTCTCGCAAGTAACTGTTCAGCTTATTTTGGAAGCAATTTCATTGCAGCTGGTCTTGAATGTGACTTGGGTACCAAGGAAAAGACACCTGTGCCTGGCAGGTCGTACACTACTAATTCGCCCAGGGTGCCAGATGCTGTGATTTCTGGATACGATTTTCTGCAGTGCCAGGTAAAAGAGGTCATGTGCCCTGTAGAGCCGCGGCTGAGCTTTTTTCGAGTGATGTGCAAGCTCCTCGGACAGAATTTTGCTAAGAATTCGGAGAAACAGGCAAGCTGAGAGGAATTCCTCTCGGCACCGGTGTCTGTACTTTGCAGCTTCCTTTTCCGACGGCCTCGCGCGCATGCTGTGTCTCCATCCCGCCGATGCTCGGCCCTCCCTGGGCTCCAGCTAGCCAGCGGAGGACCCTCCCTACAGCCCCGCGCGGCGACGCCCCGCCCGCGGGTCAGCTGGGTTCCGCCTGCCGCCCGGCCCGGCCGCTGCAGCCCCGCCCGCTGCCCTTCCGCTCACTCACGCGGGAGGCCGCGGCGGCGTCTCCATGGCGGCTCCTCTCGGGCTTCAGCTCTGGGGCGCCCGCCGCTGCCAGCACCATTCCAGCTGCGGACGCCTGCCCCGCCCGCCCGTCGCGCCGCGTCCCATCCGCCCGGGCGCCAGCCCACCGCCGCTCCGCACCCGCGCCCGCACCGGCACCCGCTCCAGAGGCGGCGCCGCCAGCCGGCCCAGCTCTGCAGCCCCGCTTCACGGGCGCTCTCCGCCTGCCGGCGATGCTGGGGGCGGAGCGGCAGGAGGGCACTTCCGGGTGTGACGCGCCCTCGAGACCCCGCCCCGCCTCTTCCTGCCGCCGCCGAGTGGGCTCCCAGGGTGGGTTGGCCCGCCCGAACCCCTGAGCCCGAGACGTGAGGGCGGGGTCCGGTCGGAAAGCGCTTGGTTCCGGCTTTCGGCGTTCACTGACTGCCCGACTCCACAGGCGCGCTTGCTTTGTCCTCTCCCAGTTTGCCGCCTGGGAGGCGGGAGGAGTGGGCGTAGCCGATCCTTCCTTTACAGATAGTGAAACTGAGGCAAGAAGAAATGGCTCGCCTGTCCAGAGTCCCAAGCAGGAACTGGAGCCACCCTTCTCAGGCTGTGATCCCCTCGTTGCACTTACTGGGAGAGATCTGCAGCACTGGAATGGGATGCAGAGAAAAACTAGGTATCCGTGCCCTGCACCTGCCTGCCATGAAAATGCCAAGTAATTAGGTGAGGGGAGGATGCTAAATGGTGGTCAAGGAAGGCCTCTCAAAATATGTCATATAGAAGAGATGGAAGAAAGCGAATCTTGAGTATCAGAGAGTACTCAGGGCAGACGAAGAGCAGTGCAAAGACTCCTGGACCTTGAAGAAGTGAAAGAGTACAGTGCAGCTGATGGTTCCCCCAAGTATGCCTCTGGGCAGTGGTAGGATCTGGAAACTTGTTAGAAAGGCAAATTCTCGAGACCCATTTCAGATTTAAATCAGAAGTTCTGAGGATTAAGCCCAGCAGCCTGTGCTGTGACAAGCCTTCCAGAGGATACTAAGGTTTAAGGACCTCTGTGGTAACTGAAGCAGTCAGGACGGAAGACAGTGGAAGGAGATGATGTCCCGGGTGTAGTGACAGATCAAATAGGCCTAGTAGGCCTGTGAAAAGATTTCACCTTTTATTGAGAAGAAAAACAAATGCTGTGAGCAAGGTGATCTGATCACTAAAAGGATGACTATGCTGGGATTTGTTTTAAAATCCTCCACCAAAGAAAGGGAGGGTAGGGAATGGAAAAAAGAAGATGGCAAAAATGTTAGATTTTGTTGCCGAGCGATGAGTGCACAGGGTTAGTCATTTATGTGTAAGCTGATTCTTCTGTTGCTATTTAAGCCACAGATGCAAGAAAGCAAACAAAAAATTACCTGCTGGGATGATCAGAGTGATAGAAGTTTATAGATTCTGATTTTGCTGAAAATATAAAGCAGATCAGAATTACTGATAGATTAAATATGAGTATAAGAGAGCAAAGTGAAAGATAATCTCAAGTTTTGGTCTGGGCTCTTGGGAGAGTGGAGTTGACATTTACTGAGATTGAGAAAATAAAGAAGAAACATTTTATGTGGGGAGGAGAGTATTTGTCAATTCTGATTTAAACATGGTTAAATCTGAGGTGTCCATTAAGCATTCATGTGTAGATAGGTGTAGACATTTAGATATCTGGAGTGGGCATAACTGTGGGGATTGTCACCATATAGATGGTGTTTAAGGTCTGATTAAGATCAACTATATAGTATAACTAGAGAAAAGAAAAGACCAAAGAGTGAACCCGGGGCCCTCCAACACTAAAACAATAAGGTAAGGAGGATTTAGCAAAGGAAACAGAAGAGGGAGCAGTAGTGAAATAGGAGTAATATCTTGGTAACCTACTGATATGTGCTAGGAAAACACTGTAGAGCTCGGTGGCATTGTTGACCCACCATGAGGAGGGCATACATAATTGAGTTATTTCTCTAGTGTTAGTAATGATTTCGTTCAGATCCAAGATAAAACTTCCTGCTTTATAAGGTCATTGTAAGAATTAAAATAATCTATTTAAAGTATATAGTACTTTGTGTAATGGAATAACTTCATAAATGTTCATTGCTATCATTCAGTTCAGTTCACTTGCTCAGTCCTGTCTGACTCTCTGCAACCCCATGGACTGCAGCATCCCAGGCTTCCCTGTCCGTCACCAACTCCTGGCTCTTGCTCAAACTCATGTCCATCAAGTTGGTGATGCCATCCAACCATCTCATCCTCTGCCATCCCTTTTTCCTCCCACCTTCAGTCTTTCCCAGCATCAGGGTCTTTTCTAAGGAGTCAGTTCTTCACATCAGGCAGCCAAAGCATTGGAGCTTCAGCTTCAACATCAGTCCTTCCAATGACTATTCAGGACTGATTTCTTTTAGGATGGACTGGCTGGATCTCCTAGCAGTCCACGGGACTTTCAAGAGTCTTTTCCAACACCACAGTTCAAAAGCATCAATTTTTCAGCACTCAGCTTTCTTTATGGTCCAACTCTCACATCCATACATCACTACTAGAAAAACCATAGCTTTGACTAGATGAACAGATGTTGGCAAAGTAATGTCTCTGCTATTTAATAAGCTGTCTAGGTTTGTCATAGCTTTTCTTCCAAGGAGCAAGCATCATTTAATTTCAAGGCTGCAGTTACCATCTACAGTGATTTTGGACCCCAATAAAATAATGTCTGTCACTGTTTCCATTGTTTCCCCATCTATTTGCCATGAAGTGGTGGCACCAGATGCCATGATCTTAGTTTTCTGAATGTTGAGTTTTAAGCCAGCTTTTTCACTTTCCTCTTTCACTTTCATCAAGAGGCTCTTTAGTTCCTCTTCACTCTCTGCCATAAGGGTGGTGTCATCTGCACATCTGAGGTTATTGATATTTCTCCTGGCAATCTTGATTCCAGCTTGTGCTTCATCCAGCCCAGCGTTTCTCATGATGTACTCTGCATATAAGTTAAATAAGCAGAGTGACAATATACAGCCTTGTTGTACTCCTTTCCCAATTTGGAACCAGTCTGTTGTTGTTCCATGTCCAGTTCTAACTGTTGCTTCCTGACCTGCATATAGATTTCTCAGGAGGCAGGTCAGGTGGTCTGGTATTCCCATCTCTTGAAGAATTTTCCACAGTTCGTGGTGATCCACACAGTCAAAGGCTTTGGCATAGTCAATAAAGCAGAAGTAGATGTTTTTCTGAAATTCTCTTGCTTTTTCTACGATCCAGTGAATGTTGGCAATTTGATGTCTGATTCCTCTGCCTCTTCTAAATCCAGCTTGAACATCTGGAAGTTCTCAGTTCATGTACTGTTTGAAGCCTGGCTTGGAGAATTTTACGCATTACTTTGCTGGTGTGTGAGATGAGTGCAGTTGTACAGTAGTTTGAACATTCTTTGGCTATCATTGCTATCATTATTTCTACACATTTACATGACCATCAGTTATACTTGATTCAGTTGGGAACTGAGGTTAAGTGCTAGACCCAAGAGATACATATGACTTAGATTTGGTCAAACCTTTGGTCTGACTTTCTTCTTCTACATGCAAGCAGAGTGAACAGAACTGTTTGATCAGCCATTTTAGGAGCTCTCTCAGGACAAAACAAAAACATAAAATTCTTCTAATGGTTGTGTGTCTTCCCACCAAAATAATGTTATAGGTACAAGTAAATACTGAACAGTGAGGCTATGTCTATCTGACAAGTGAGCACACAAACCATAACAAGTTTCACATCCTCCCCTGGATTATGTCCAGTACAATTCTGTTTTGTCCAGTACAATTTTCTGCTTCTTAAGGGATCCAATTCAGCTAGCATGTGAAATGTCTACTCAAACCTTTTCTTTTTCACACCCATCCCTAAGTTCATAGGCCTGAGAAAGAGTACTTTTTTTTTTAAATTCTCAAGCTTGCTAAGAGTTAAATTTCAGCCCACATTCCTATTGTTCCTAGTGTGATGGTCATTGTGCATTTGAAGATGGTCCATTTTCCTAATTCAATTCTCTGCCCTGACTCCACTCCCTGCAGAAAAGAGAAAGAACCAGGTCCACAGCTCAATATCTCATCTCTGAGTCTTGAAGCAATTTGAAAATTTGTTAGTTTGTACTGAACCTCTGTTGTTTTCTGAAAAGACAAAAGTGATAGGACCTTTGGCTTTCAGACATAAGCATACCTGTTTAAGAGGAGTAGCAATTTATGAGCCCAGTTTCCATTTTCATCTTTGTATGGGCCAAGTAACTACACAAAACTGGTTCTTGGACAGATACTGTCTCAACAGTTAACCTCATCTCACCAAACACAAGAAAAACAAACAAACCTTGGCAAGATGGGCACAAATCCATCTGGTGAGGAGGGGGTGGTGGGGAGAGAGACTTTTACTATGTCTTACTTTATATGTCAGTTTCACCATTTTCTGAAGTAAAAGATTATGAGGCCACCAAAGACTTCCAAATGCTTTGGGAGAAACTATAAAACTCTTAGAGGAAAATGTAGACAGGATACTTGATGACATAAATCAAAGCAAGATACTCTATGATCCACCTCCTAGAGTAATGGAAATAAAAACAAAAGTAAACAAGTGGGAGCTAATTAAACTCAAAAGCTTTTGCACAGCAAAGGAAACTATAAACAAGGTAAAAATACAACCTTCAGAATGGGAGAAAATAATAGCAAATGAAACAACTGACAAAGGATTAATTTCTAAAATATACAAGCAGCTCATATAACTCAATACCAGAAAAACAAACAACTCAATCAAAAAGTGGGGAAAAGCCCCAAATAGTCATTTCTCCAAAGAAGACAGACAGGTGGCTAAGAAACACATGAAAAGATGCTCAACATCACTTATAATTAGAGAAATGCAAATCAAAATTACAATGAGATATCACCTCACACCAGTGAGAATGGCCATCACCAAAAAGTCTACAAACGATAAATGCTGGAGAGGGTGTGGAGGAAAGGGAACCCTCTTACACTGTTGGTGGGAATATAAATTGATACAGCCACTACAGAAGATGGTATGGAGATTCCTTAGAAAACTAGAAA